CCCGATACCCATCCGAAATCATCCCGAGCCCCTCGGGACCTCAACCAAAAATACCAACAAGTCATATATCAACATACCAACTTAGTCGAACCTTCGAATCACTCAAAACAACACCAAATCATCAAATTACCCTCGGATTCAAGCCTAAGAACTTCTAAATTTTCAAATTCGGCACCCGATGCCGAAACCAACCAAACCGCGTCCGAATGACTTCAAATTTTGCACACACATCACAAATGACACTACGAACCTACTCCAACTTTCGGAATTCTATTCTGACCCCGATATTAATTTTATTTTCACTGCCGACCGAAATCGCCAAATTTCCAATTTCGCCAATTCAAGCGTAATTCTACCACGGACTTCCAAATCACATTCCGGATGCACTTCCAAGTCCAAAATCACCTAACGGAGCTAACCGAACTATCAGAATTCAAATCCGAGATCGTTTACACATAAGTCGATATTCGGTCAACTATTTCAACTTAAGCTTCCAACATGAAATTCATTCTTTCAAGCTAACTCCGAAATACCTTAAAACCAAAACCGATAATTTACACAAGTCATAATACCTCATGGGAAGTTATGCAAGACCTCAAATAGTTGAAAGGAGTATAAATGCTTAAAACGATCGATCGGGTCATTACAGATACATCAACCGATACTGAACAGGTCCAGCAAGCTTAGCTTCATTAGCTAAGTGAGTAGGCAAGTGCACCATGATAACAAAAAATGAAGGAGGGGAGACCTTTTCTAACTTACAAAGAGTTATAGGAATTTGAGCTTCAATCTGATCCAAGTCATTAGTCCTTAATACCTTTGCTCCCAACACATTAAAAAATAAAGACAACTCGATAAGGGGTTCACACACAGTTTTAGACAACATACCACGTAGTGTAAGAGGGAGTAAATGTTGTAGAAGAACATGACAATCATGACTCTTTAAGCTAGAAATCTTATGCTCTTTCAAGTTAACACATTGAGAAATATTAGACGAAAATCCATATGGAACCTTTAAATTCTTTAAGAAAAGGCATATGTTGTGCTTTTCTTGGGGAGATAATATATAACATGCAGTTGGAACTTCATATTTTTCTCCATTTTTAATAGGGTGCAATTCCGGTCTAATGTTCATTTCTTGCAAATCTAGTCGAGTTTTAATGGTATCCTTGGTCTTTCCTTTGGCATTCATTATCGTCCCCAAAATATTATCACAAATATTTTTTTCGATATGCATAACATCCAAATTATATCGCAACAAGAGAGATTTCCAGTATGGAAGTTCAAAAAAGATACTCCTCTTATTCCAATTATCTTTTCGAACATCATGTGATATCTTGATCCTTTTCATTGGATCCTTTGTCAATTGGAACCCTTTAAGATCTTCCACTTGATTAAGTATCTCAATACCAGAACGCATTTTTGATGGGAGCCTTTTCTCTTTTGTGCCATCAAATGATTCCTTATCATTCCTCCATTTGTGATTAAGAGAAAGGTAACGCTGATGACCCATAAAATATTGTTTCTTACCATTCTTCAATCTGATTGAGGAAGTGTCAATGTTGCAACATGGACATGCCAATTTACCTTTTGTACTCCATCCAGATAAATTTTCATATGCTGGAAAGTCATTGATGGTCCATAACAAAGAAGCATGTAACTTAAAATTCTGTCGAGTTGATGCATCAAATGTCTCAATACCAATTTCCCACAACTCATTTAATTCCTCTATCAAGGGTTGAAGATATGTGTCAATTACATCACCTGGACTATCGGGACCAGGAATAAGCATGGACATAATGAAATTTTCATGTTTCATACACAACCAAGATGGTAAATTATAAGGAATAAGTACCACAGGCCAAATACTATATGAGGTTTTTGAATTCCTAAATGGCTGGAATCCATTACTAGCAAGTCCAAGTCAAACATTACGAGGCTCGGCCGCAAATGAGGAATGAAATTCATCAAATGATTTCCATGCCATTGAATCAGCTGGGTGCCTCGTTGTTCCATCATCAACTCTTTCATTATGATGCCATGTCATTAGAGAAGATGTCTTTGTAGACATAAACAACCTTTGAAGCCTAGGCTTCAATGGAAAATAGAGTAACGTCTTTGATGCTATTTTTTTACCATTCTTATTCTTTGCTTCCCCGCTATGTTTATCTGTTTTCCATCTGGATGCACCACAGACTCTACAGGAATCAAGTAAGTTATTTTCCTTCCAATATAACATGCAATCATTTATACAAGCATCAATTTTTTTGTAGGACAACCCAAGGTCCCGAATCACCTTCTTTGCCTTATAATATGAATTTGACACATTCGCTCCATCAGGCAACAACTCATCCTTCAACATTTTTAATAACATTGTAAATAACTCATTGCTCCAACGACCCATACTTTTTATGTGAAGCAGTTTAACAAAGTGGAAAGTTTTGAAATTTTCGAATTTTGGTATAGTGGCTTTTCGAAATCTTTCGATAGGTTGTAAAACTTTTTGGCTTCAACATTCTGTTCCTCTACAAGTAAATTATTATAATTAACGTCTGCAGTACCTCCATCATGATTAGGATACAAATCCCTCAGCATTTCATGTATTTCATCCTCATCCTCATAATCTTCTACTTCATTATCATCTTCAACTTCGCATTCCGACTGTGGCTCACCCAAAACTTCACCATGATAATACCAAAAGGTATAATTTCGAATTATTCCATATACTTTTAAATGTATCTCGACTGTCTCACGTGTTCCCAATGTTGTGTTACAACATTTGACACACGGACAACGTATTTCATACAATTCTCCTGTTCTTCTAAAGGCATAATCCAAAAATTTTTGCACCCCAATTAAATAGGGTTCATCAAGTCGATTATCAACAAGTTGCATCCATTGCTTACTTGGTGACATAACCTTGGAAGTAAATAAAAAAAAAAATTAAATAATTAAGATAACAAAAGTATTAAGATGCACATTACTTTAAAAAAGAGTACTAAGATGCACATTACTTGTTATCAAACTTGTTACACTCATCTTTATGATTAAACTTCCTACGATTTCACAAGAATGAGATAAACTACAAGTTGATATGCATAACATATAACACACAATTGCTTAAGAAAATGAGAAATTAAAACACATAAGATACTTCATAGCTAAATTACTGAGTTTCTATCTTAAAGGTTAGATGCATAGAAAGCTTGCATTGCAGCAAGGATAAGTCAGTTCGTACAACTAGAAGGCCAAAGATATGTGATTTTTATTTTAATAGATTGGTGCATACTTGTTACTTCAGGTGCTTTAAACTTAAGAAAAGAATAAGCAGAAAATTTTCCATAGTATTCTATTGGTTCAGAGTGATGCAGTGGCAACTGAGTAAGTTGAGATTCATGCTCTTATGGGCTCTGTAAATTAAGTGAAAACTTAAAATGGTCTTCTGTATAAATTCAAACATCATATGTCATTGAAAAACTGATGCTACCACACTGATGTAGACCACTTATAAACTGGAGTAATTTTCTAGTTAAACGATCTTTTCATCTAACAACCATTACAGCCTTCCACACTTAACGAGTATTAAACAATTACTAGCATATAAGGGAAGTTTCAAAATGGTGATTCATGGTCTATTTGCAATATTGTCTAAGAAACTTTTGAATTGCATCATCAGTTGTTGACCTAGCTTGATGAGCGGGTCTAGTGCATGTTTACTACTTTGTTAAGTCTTGCAAGAAATTAAGATGCAGCTGCTTATTAAAGGCATCCTCTGCAATAAATCCGGGAATAGATAACTGATAATTGAAATCATTATATGCCAAATGGTACTGTTTAACTAAAGCCAACAAAGATAGCAGACTGTAACTTATCACAACTTAATGTAAAAAAAACTACTACGCTTCGTCACAACCAAATTAGGATCGGCTATTTGTATCCTCACTATCCATCCCATGCCATTTAAGACCGTCTCAGTCCAAAATGATCATAACTTAATATACCACCCATAGATCCATTATTACAAGAGGCTCGAATATGTATTAATTACGGTACCTAAATTTCCATGGGTGCTCGCTTTCTACTAATAATAATAATAATAATAATAATAATATGAATAAAATAATACCACTAGCCTTTTGGTCTTTACATAAGATAAAATAAAGTTTAAAAAATAAAACAACTAGGCAGCCGGCCTTGCCTTCATTGTGTTCCTAGATATTTATTTACTCATTGGATTTGAAAGCTATTGTCAGTGTTTCCACTTTTTCCACAGGTTGACCCCGTACCTATGCCATCATCATGTGCAAAAGGTCTTCATATACCTTATGGTTCTTCATCTACGAATTTTAGAACCCAAAGATGATCTTATTAATAAATGGTTTTCATACGGCTAGACTAGTCCATTGTTGTGGCATCAGTGGAACGTACAAACAGGTATATTCCTTTAAGTAGTTATCATTTCTTTATACTTGATGGATGTTTTACTGAATCCACGGCTTCAACACAACACACGATGGCTTGACAACCAGGTTGCTCTATTGTGTTCACGAGTTGTATAGCTACCAACAATATGAGATGCAAAAAACAAAAGACAGAGCCAGTGATACATTGCCACTGCAAGGAAAGCCAGCAAGTTGCTTCCTACATCCATGTTTTAAGGCAAGTTTAGTCCTTTTTGCTATTTTGTTTGAGGGGTTTATCAGTTAGCAAGACCTTTATTATATATGACGTCGCGCTAGTTTGTTAGTTTAAAGCAAAAGGAACTGCCTTACTGGACCAGGACCTATTTATCCCTGCAATATCTCTAGAACATGAGGAGGACTACATGCATTACACAGTGCAAGAAAGAACATAACAAGAGAAAACAAGGTGGCTTGATTGAAATGTTAAACTGATATTTATGNTTTTTATTTATAAAAAAGGAAAATGATTTAAGCAAAAGAAACAATGAAATTAACTAACTTAAGTCAACACTCACCTATGTTTGAGTAGTTAATTTTTTCATGTCTTTTTTTGTTCTTTTTAAATATTTTTTGAATCTCCCATTTATAGGAGGTTTGTCCTAAAATATGGCAATTATTAAATATTTTTTGTTACACTTGCATCATCACATTGATTTAATTTTTATTTTTTTTAAATAATTTTAAAACTCCAACTTAAAACTACTCCCCAATTTGAATTAATTTATTTTTTAGTTTTCATCTTTTATTTTAAAATAATTTTAAAACTCCAGCTTTGTCGAAGCTTTGTCCTAAAAATCTACACTTGTTGTAGTATGGTTATGCCACTTGGCATTAATATATATATATATATATATATATATATATTAGGAAAAAACTACTCCCCAATTTGAATTGGTAGTTATTTGTTTCTTATTTTCAAATTTTACATATACTTAAATTCAAAATAAATTACCAATAACTAATTTTTAACTAAATAACTAATAACTAATTATGACACGTGGCTTTTATCTAAGTTACCACTTGGCTTAATGTGGTACATTTTTCTTTGGCTTTTAATAATATATAGATATAAATATAAATTGTTTTTACTTTAAAATTTATTTTATTATTTTCAATAATATTGTCTGAATTTTAATGAATAAATGCACTTTTTATTTATTAAAAATGAAAAATGATTTAAACAAAAGAAATAATGACATTAACTAACTTAAACCAACACTCAACCATGTTTGAGTAGTTAATTTTAGGTAGTTAATTTCTTTATGTATGTTTTTATATTTTCTCTTTTGTTTTGTTTGTAAATAATTTTTGAATCTCCAAATTTATAGGAAGTTTGTCCTAAAACATGTCAATTATTAAAAAACTATTATTACACTTGACATCATTACATTGATTTGCTTCTCATATTCTAAATATATAGATATTGATATTGATATAGACTATCATATTAGAAAACTATTACTCCTAAATTTGAATATATNTTAAAGCAAAAGGAACTGCCTTACTGGACCAGGACCTATTTATCCCTGCAATATCTCTAGAACATGAGGAGGACTACATGCATTACACAGTGCAAGAAAGAACATAACAAGAGAAAACAAGGTGGCTTGATTGAAATGTTAAACTGATATTTATGTAGGGTAAATGGTGCAATAACTCTTCAAAATCCATAAATAAAGTAATAACATGGCAAATCGTACTCGTTGAGAGACGTGGGAGGAGGAAAAACAAAAAACAAAAGAAAACCTTACATTCAGTTGATCTAGGAAAATCTACGCAGTGATACTGAAATGCTAAATGTCATTTCCCAAGAGTATGTGGCTGTCATAATTGTTGAAAGAGATTGGACAATCTCATCCATACCAGGGCAATGTGAAGGATCTTTCTTGATGCAGTTATCGATCAATCTTTCCACCAAAACCACAGGTTCTCCTTTTCTTTTTTCTAGTACCACCATTCATCTCTTTTTCTGAACTAGTAGATCGTCTTATCATCCCTTTCCCATAGTGCGTGTACATATAAATTTTTTTATCATTAAATTCTGCAATGTGATTCAGTCCATTTTTGCTAGATTTTATCTCAAATCATTTGAATTCCAACTAAAGTCTCCATCTTTTTCTTTAAATTGCAGGTTTTATTTATTGAATATGCCCATAGCGATGGAATTAGGGGATAACAAAATTTTTTAACGTAGGGTTGCTGCTAGCAGCGACCCTACTGGGAGCCAAACTCATGACCCTTCAAGCAAGTCCCCGGAAGAATTGTATAATGCAAATCGCAAAGGAGAAAACTATCGCAGAGACGAAACACTACAAGAAAAACTCAAATTTCTCCTCCTTGACCTACGAGCCCCATCTTTAAACCAATACTCTCACTTTTATCGCTCACACAATAACTATCAGTACTCTAAACAACCCAATTGCAGAAAACAACTAAAGAAGCAGAAAATTACAAAACCCGATTTACGATTTCTGGCTCAATAAAAAAAAATGCAAGAAGAAGAAAAAAGGAAACGAAACAGATAAAAGAGAAAGAAATTAAACTTACTCTTGATTAGGCAGATAATCCAATAGTAGAGTTTGTGTAAAGTCCCTCGGAGAGAGATTAGAATTTTGACGCCAAAGTTCGGAGTGATGAATCTTGCAAGCTTCTGAGGTCTGACCGATGAATTTTGCAACCTTTGTGAACTTTGAAGAGAATTGAAGTTGCTGGGATTGTAGCGTGAAAGTGATTTTTTGGGGGAGATTTTAGGGTGAAAGTGAATTTCTAGCGGGATTTCACAGTGAAAATATATTTTTGGAGGGTTTTTTTTACTTTACTTTCAGATTCCCGCTCCTATCCCGCTAAAATTGACTATTAGAGACCATATATTAAATTTTATATAGACCAGAATAAGCCTGCTAGTGTATTTAGAAAATAAAATTGGGTATTAGATACCAAAATAAAAATTTATCCCTATAAGTACACTTTTAGGTACCATATAAAAAATTTGTCGCTAAATATTGGTCCCTAATAAGTCTTTTTCTTGTAGTGCATGTTTGAGTAGTTAATTTATTTATTAATTTTTTTTTAAAAGTTTATTTTAAAATAAATTTTGAATGTCCAAATTTATAGGAGATTTGTCCTAAAACGTGACACTTATTAAATTTTTGTTCTTAAACTTGGTATCATTATATTAATTTGCCCTTCCTATTATATAT